AATTCCTGACCCAGGCAAGAAGAGCCAGGTACATTGTCCCCACTCTGCCCCAGCAGTGTTAATTTGAATTGCTGAAGATCCTCCCCTGGGTGCCTGGAATGGAGCTTCTCTTCCAGAGCAGCCTTCAGCAGCCTCACATGTGGCCCTTCCACAACCTGCTGCTTTTTCTCTTTTTTTTCCTTCAAATCATCTATTTACTGTTTTTGCGTTAAAGGATCACTTTTAAATCTCTTCCAGCTTTACAAAATGTTGCCTAAAGGTGAATGTTGAAAAACCCAGACTAAAATTTTGGTATCTCTAAGAGCCACACACCAACATACACAAAAAAATTCCTAGGCAATTAAGTTTTTTCTCCTTCTCCTCGTTGTAAAAATTCATTTTCTCATCCCTGACCCAAACCTAACCGGCAATATAGAAGTAGGAGTTATAGAAAAAGTACACTAATGCTCTAAACTTTGCACTGAAACTGCAGGAAAAAGCAAAACTCCACCAGTATGTTTAGTGTTGGAGTCAAGGCATTCCTTGATTCTGGCCAGGATCTGCAACAGAAATCCTTCCATCCCCACATAGCCCAGGTGTGCAGCAGAAAAAATCATTCCATGACATGTGGGTTTTACTCGATTTCCTCAAACTTGATGCAGTCTGAAGCAATCTAAATGCATTGGTTTAATGTTCTATTGTTTCAAGTCAAGGGTTTCAAAGACAGGTCTTGCCTGATCAAGCACCAGGTGATCCACACTGGGGAACGGCCCTACGAGTGCTTGGAATGTGGGAAGAGCTTTGGGTGGAGCTCACACCTGAGAACACACCAGCGCATCCACACAGGGGAGAGGCCCTACGAGTGTCCCCAGTGTGGGAAGAGGTTTCAGACCAGCTCTGATCTCCTCGTACATGAGCGGATTCACACAGAGGAGAGGCCCTTCCGCTGCCCCGACTGCGGGAAGGGCTTCAAGCACAACTCCAACCTCACCGTGCACCGGCGCATCCACACTGGGGAGAGGCCCTACGAGTGTGGGGAGTGTGGAAAGAGCTTCTCACAGAGCTCCACCTTGACCCAACACCAACGGAGGTGCCACTAAGGGAAGCTCTGTGAGTGCCCCGAGTGAGGGAAGAAGCTTGGAGTGAGGGAAGAGAGAGAGGGAAGAGCTTGGTGTGCTGCTGCAGCTCCATCCCCCATGGGAGAATCCAGGCTGGATGATCCCCAGTGATGCCTGTTGGGCAGAGCCCTGTGGATCCTTGGTCCTGGTGATCCATGCTGGGTGTGGGGAAGGTGTTGGCTTCTTCTCGTTGAGCTGCTGTGATTTGCAGGGGTTCCCATGGATGGGGGCTGGGAGGTGAGTTGGGGTCCTGGCGCACTGCGGAGGGGCTCATGGTTCGGGGGGGTCCCAGCGCTTTGGGGGGGTCGGTGAAGGGGGGAAGCAGTGAATGGGGGTGTCCTGGTAAATTGTGGGGGTACCCTGCTGATAATGAGGGTCCTGGCTGATAATGGGTGGGGACAGGACTGAGCCCCAAGGGACCCCCCCGGTGCTGGGCATCCCCCTGTGATCCCCAAGCGCTTTGGGCCCCTCTGGTCCCTCCCAGTCCCAGCACTGTTCCTGGGGGTCTCGTGGCTCTGGGGGGTCAAAGGGGAGGGGATGGAACCTCCGTCATGGATGGGGGCACAAAGGGGAGTCCGGGCCCAGTGCTCGGCGGGGTCGGTGCACGAGGGGGGCCCGGTCCCTGTCCCGGTGCACGGGGGTGGCGGTGCCTGGGGGCTCCCAGTGCCCGGGGGTTTCCCGGGGTTTGAGAGGGGGTCCAGTCCTAGTCCCAATGCTCGGTGAGGGGCGGCAGTGCACGGGGGCTCCCACTGCTCGGTAATTGGGGGGTGTCAGAATCCAGGACATCCCTCTGGCTGCCCTGGATGGCACGAGACCCTGGCAGGGGGCTCGGAGACCTTGGCATGGTGTCAAGAACACCAATGGCTTTGGTTTTAGCCCCTGGAGAAAATTGCCAACTTTGTCTGAGGAATTACAAGCCACAAGGGTTTGAGTAGCGTGGTAGGTGAATTAACACAAGGTGGAAAAGTAGCATTTTGGAGTTCTAAAATAAGGTGTTCAAGGGAACAAGATGGAGGGATTTGGGCGTGTCCTGACCTTCTTCTTCTTGCCCTCCATGTCTTGCTGAGTTGGTGACACTTTTCTGTTGGTTGAAGGTAGAGACACACTGTCCAACATAAATGATAGATATTGGCACGTTGCTGTAAACACAGTACAGGTAGTTTTTAGTGTAAAAGGCAAACAGCGCCCTGAGGGCAGGGAGACTGCCACAGACCGACCTGCTAGACAGAGCTCAGCAGAGCGGACAAAGTGTATTAGAGATAAGGGAAAATAAACGGCCCTGAGAAGCAAAGCTCCACATCTCGACTCCTTCTCTGGCCCCGCGCGGGCTGGGAGAAAAGGACTTTTCACAATCTCGGGGTCAATAGGTTCATTCATATTCATTCTGCTGATTTCGCATTACACTTACAGCTAGTTACACTTGTACTTGGTTTGTGTTGGAAAGTACAGAAAGAAGTCTTGGGTCACTCTGGGCTGTTTGTTTCAAGGTCTGAGGAGTCTTTCTTATCTCTTATCTCTTTAGCTTGGAAATTTGCATTCTTTCTCCTTAGTTGGGGTAGTTTTGCTAGTGCTGCAGTTATTAGACTAATCAGCATATTCTGCTTATGTTAGCAAGCTCAAAGTGGCACATTTCACCTAAATCCAAATGGATTTCTACCTTGTTAAATTTTCACTCTGTCTCAGTGTTGATGTCCCCAAGTGTCCCCAGCAGGTGACGCGTGGCCAGGTGGGCCCTGGCCTCCCACAGCTGCTCAGCCTCGGCCATTGTGGCCACCAAGGCCACATGGAAATCAGAGGAACCGCTGTTGTCCCCTCCAGGGTGGCCTCGATGTCCCTGAGCCGGCGCTGCAGCTCCCAGAGGAACGCGGTGGCTTCGTCACACGCGGCCACCAAGTCCCCCAGCAGCCCCAGGTACAGCTCCAGCCGCTGTCCCCTCCCGGTGGCCACATCCCTGCAGGCGTCGCGGGGCTCGGTGGCCGCCTTGGCCAGCCGGGCCCAGCTGTCCATGAGCCTGTCCAGCACACGCCTGGCGCTGGCCAGGGCTCTCACACAGGCCCAGGTGGTCCCTGGGGTGTCCCCGAGGTTGGCCAGGGTCCAGCCCAGGGAGTGGACAGGGCGGTGGCCCAGGGAGGGGACACAGTAGTGGCACAGGGTGTCCTGGAGGTGAAAGATCAAGGTCCCCAGAGCCACACGCAGGAACTCTGGGGACATGGCCAGCAGCACCTCCCTGTGCGGCCTGGCCACGGTGGCCATCACTTCTCTCAGGGTGGCCAAGCATTTCCTCTAGCTGCTGAGGGGGGTACAGGGGAGGTGTCAGGGGCCTGGTGACACTTGTGGCCTCCTGCGGTGGGCCCTGTGCCCTCCCGGGGTCCCCTTTGTCCCCTCCCTGGAGGGCTCTGCTGTCCCCTCTGTCCCTTTGTCACCCCCTCGTCCCCCACTCTCCCCCCCTGCCACCCTCAGTCCCTGTTGAGGAAGATGAAATGGGAAAGCCTTATAAATATGATTGCCTGGCAAAGAATTTGGAAAATAGAGAGACTGAGATGAGAAGGAGCTTTGAGATGCCGGACCTTGGCTGCTGAGTAATGAGATAACAGTAGTGTGGCCAGTGGAAGGCAACCCCCCTTTTTGACCTACAGACAGATCCAAGGGTCAGTCAGAATGTTCTGTCTCATCCCTCAAAAATGAATAGTTTATCCCACATCTGTAACCCTCCCCTGAAGTATCATGTATCTGTAATCCCATTGGTCCAAAGTCTTACTCCGCACCCACTCTGAAGCCCCCTTGATAAGGCGTACCCAGGAGACCAGGGGCCCTTCTTCTGCCCTTCTGCCCTCCCCTTCTCTCTTGGAGCCTCTTTTGGAACTCTCTCTCTCTATCTCTCCCTGCCCCCACTCCTTGGGGCGTGCTCCAAGCTGTGGCTGGCAGCTCCCAGCAGGGCCCCACAATAAACCTAAGACCTGACTTCAGAGATCTCTCGTCCCCATCCGTCCCGGCTGTCCAGGAGTCCAACGCTCTCTACACCAGCCCAGGACCCAGGACCCCCTGAAACCTGCCCCGGTCCCTTCCTGGCCTCTCCAGGACCCACCAAAGCTTTTCCTGTCCCTCTCGGGATCCCACAACCCCCTTCCAGTTGAGCCCCACCGCCCCAGGACCCCCAAACCCTCTCCCAGTCCCTTCCCAGCACCACCAGGACTCACCCAAACCCCTCCCAGTCTCTTTCCAGCACAACCAACCTCATCCCAACCTCTGCTTTTCCATCCCCAATCTCCTTCCAGCTCCTCCAGGCTCTCTCTGATCCCTCCCAGTCACACCCAGCACCCCAAACTTCCTCCCAGTGCCCATCAGGACCCCTGGAACCCCATCCCACCCTCCCCAGTATCCTTCAAAGCTCTTCTCAGCCCTTCCAGACCCCAAAGCCCCTCTCCCAGTTTAAACCAGGCTCTTTCCAACTTCCTCCCAGTTAGTCCCAGCACACCCCAATCCCCCTCCCAGTCCCGCCAGTGCCTCCCCCCCTGTCCCCACTGCTGTGGGGGCCGGGCTGTGCCCCAGTGCCGGCTCGGGGTGCTCCAGGCTGACGTGCTCCACCTGGCAGCTGCAGGTGACCCCGCCCTCGGAGTGGGGGGGTTTCCAGCAGCACCAGGAGCTGGTGGGTCCAGTCCCTGTTTGGGACCATGTTGGTGGCCACCACATGCCCCAAGAGCTCCTGCTGGCCCTGGAACCACCTCAGCTGGATGTGGGCAGGGTAGAAATCCCTAATGGGGCAGAGCAAGTGGCCAGGATTGGGCTGGGAGCTTGAGGGGCCCAGCAATATAGACACAGTGGGATGGGCCCTGGGAGAGTTTGGGAACACACTGGGATCAGCTGAGGGGAACTGGGAGAGATGGGAGAGGGCTGGTGTGGCATTGAGAGGGACTGGGAATGAAATTGGATAGGGTGGGGGGAGACTGGAAGAGAGGGGAGGTCTGTGATTGGACTCAAAAGGATTTTGAATGGACTGGGAGGGTGTTACTGTCGAGGCAGGATGGGAATGAGAAGACTAACTCAGAAGGCTGTGAGAGTAAAGCTCCGGTTTATTCAAAATACCCTGGTCTTTATACAGAGCTCCATGAGGACCAAATCCATTGGTCCTGAAGTGAAAACAGCCACACCATTGGTGCAGAGTGCTTGACGCACAGTGATAGAACTTAACTATAAACAATGTGAGTAACAAGAGAGATAGAGAATTATTTACATTCTTTTCCAAACTCTTTCCCAGTCTTCTGCCTGGCTAGAAACTCTCTGTTTCTCTCTTTTACTGAATCTGAGACCCACAGGAGGGCACTGGGAGAGAGGGTGGAGGTCTGGGAGTGGAGTTAGAGGGACTGAACAGACTCAGAATGGAATGGCTGTGGACTGAGAGAAACTGGGAGAGACTCTGGGGACCGTGGGATGGGCTGTGAGGATGGGAGAGACTGGGATGGACTGGGAGAGCCACTAGAGTCCTTTGGGGTGAGGGGGCAGCAGGCACAAGGAGGGCTGGGGGCTCTGGGGCGATTCCCAGGTCTCGGGGGTCTGGCAGTCGAGGTGACCCTGAGAATGCAAAAGTCCTTGCTTCCCAGCCCGCACAGCCAAAGAAGAAGTCGGAATGCATAGGGTCGGCTTCTCAAGGCCGTTTATTTTCTCTTCTCTATAACATGCTTTCTAAAGGAGCTGCGCTCTGTGTAGCAGGTCAGTCTGCGGCAGACTCCCACCCCCTTGGGCTGGTGTTACCATTTTACACTAAAAACTGCCTGTACGATGTTTACATTAACGTGCCAATATGTATCATTTTTGTTGGACAGTGTGTCTCTACCTTCAACCAATAGAAAGGTGTAACCATCACAGCAAGACCCTCACTGAGCACCGGGACTGGGACCGGACTGCCCCTCAAACCCCAGGAATCTCCCGGGTACTGGGATCCCCTGGGATCCACCGGGCCCCCCCTCGTGCACCGACCGCCCCCGAGCACCAGGCCCAGACCCCCCTTTGTGCCCCCCACCCATCACGGGGTTTCTGCCCCCTACCCTTTGACCCCCCAGAGCCGCGGGACCCCCGGGAACAGCGCCGGGACCGGGGGGGCCTAGGGATGTGAGAAATGCATTCCTAAAGGATTCCCAAAACCTGGCAGAAAGCTCATACTGCCTTGGACTTGTCCATGCAAACTCTGAGATTTTATTGTGCCAGCGAGCAGCTGCAAGGAATTATCAATAATCAATATCAGTATGAGCACCTGAGCAAAATGCTGGTGGTCAATAGGAACCTGCAAAAGGCAATAGAGAAATGCAAAAGCCAGTAAAGAAATGCAAAAAGCCAACAGAGAAATGCAGAAGCCAGTAGAGAAATGCAAAAAGCCAATAGAGAATTGCAAACGCATTCACAGTGTTAGAAATGAGAAGCTTGACTCAGCCAATATATCAAGCAGCAATTCAATTTATTAATTTATTAATTAATATGGTAATGTATGAGCAAAGACAGCACTGGGTACAGTGGTGGGGGTTTCCCCCCCCAGCTGCACACTGATTGCTGAGCTTGCTGGTATTTATTGATCATATTCATGCATATTCATAAACTTTTCTCAGCAGTTTCTATTTCCAATTTTTGACGTCACAATTCTTTACTTCAGGATTGTAAATCTATGATGGTTATGTTTAGTTCCTGTGAAAATGCATATTTTATGATTGGATTTTCATAAATATTACAATTAATATTTTCTGTGTAATATTAGAAAGTTATGCTGTGTTAATTCTCTTAAGTAGTGTGTTAATATATTTTTAGGTTATAACACAATGTTAAAATCAAAACTATGCTATGTAAGATACTTTTTAACCAGCTTAAGAAAGAGGTGAGATAATCAAGAAATTCTTCACACAGAGAAAATAGTGACAGGGCACATAAAGAGTTACAGCCCCCTTATCAGAAAAGACAAACATTCTTCCACCTTCTTTCCTTCTTTATGGAACCACCAGGATTAAGGGGAAGAAGTTGACAAAAACCAGAAAAGTTCCTAATTTGCAAGGAATTTATGCATCATGTTTAAGATCTATGAATATGCAACAGGCTATTGCTTTTAAGGGTTATTCCTTTGTTCAAGGCATGTTTTTGGCAGCTTAGTGCCCAAAAACATCTGGGTGTCTGTAATTCCATGCTTTTTTATTGTATTGTAATTGTCCTAGTTCTAAATTTTTATTACTCTAATTATATTAATATTTTTAGAACCATTTTATTATTATTAAACTTTTAAAATTTTAAAAACCAAGTGATTGGCGTTTGTCACAGTTCCTTTCCAATTTCTATACTCTATTGGGATCTGTTCCAGGTTTCAATATACCAGGATGTGTGTCCCAGATGGTGGGGTCCTTCTTCGTGATGTGGGGTCCAGCTTCTATTTCCTAGGACCTTTAATCTGTGACAGTGATGTCCAGCTTCCCTTTTCGAAATCATTAATCAGTGACATTGATGTCCATCTTCTCTTCCAGGAGATTTTCACCGTTTTGTTAGGAGCTTGGGATAGGTTCACTTCCCTCTTTTGTTTGAATCCTTTATATAATCTAAAGCTACAGTTTAAAACCCTTAATACAAAGCAACATTCTAAAGTTATAAATCAAATACTCTTATTACAACACAGCTTATGGCTTATAATTGTTAATTACAAACAAAAGATTGGTTCAAAAGCCTTCTTCCATGCTTTCCTCTGTCATTTATTAGAACACATTTTTATAACTGCCCCATGGCCGTGTTCCACACATTTCACAATTACAATTCCACAGGTTACCTTGATTTACCTGACATGAAACACAACTTTGTATTTCACAATTCTGCCTTTTCCCTTCTCCCCGTCTCTTCCTCTCCTTGTCCTTCCTACCTGCAGCACTGAGCTGCAGACAGAGACCAGGGAGAACAAATCCCTGCCACAGAACCTCATGGAAGAGGCCATTTGGAACGGCTCCACGGCGCAGGAATCCAACAGGGAGGAAAAAAGATCCCACACAAGGAGGGGCTGCAAACCCAGCCCGGGGAGCTGTGAGGAGGGAAAACCCTCCCTGTGCTGGGAAGGGTGTGCGGAATGTGAGAAGAGCTTAAGGCAGAGCTCAGCCTACTCCTGGCACCTGCAAAGATGGCGGTGCTGGATGCAGAGATCCAAGGGGATGCAGAGATCCCCCTGCAGATCCAAGGGGATGCAGAGATTCCCCTGCAGATCCATGGGGATGCAGAGATCTCCCTGCATATCCCTGGAGATGCAGAGATCCCCCTGCAGATCCATGGGTGTAATATATGATTTAAAATAAATTCGTGCTCAGCACTAAAAAAAATATGGTATCTTTTAAAATGGAATCAAGTGACAAGAAAGAGCAATATACACAAGATTAATTCCTGCCTCAGAGGATGGTTATTCTAAAAGATTATTCAATCTAGAAGATAACCATTGAATGATAAGATGAATAGTTGTTGCCAAACAAGATATTCGAGAGGAATACCATCTAACAAGATTTCAGCAATAAAAACTCTGCACAAGGAAAGAACATGCATTAATATGTGGAAAGGGGCAAGATAGACGAGAGGGAACAGGAAGACCACCTGGAATCCTGCTACATCTGAAAACAGTATAAAGAAGACCCTGCAGAATCAATACGTTGTGGACTGCCAGCGTTACAGGGCTGCATAGCCTGAACCCAGTTCACCCAGCAACAATTGCCTGGCTCGGCACTGTTTTACTTACAGCTTTTGCAATTTTTATTTTGACTTGATTTAATAAATTCCTCTAATTAGTAATTGGCTGATTCATTTATAACAATGGGGATGCAGAGATGCCCCTGCAGGTCCATGGGGATGCAGAGATCCCCCTGCAGCCCCTGGAGGAGCCAGGCTGGAGCTCGGGGATGCCTGAGAGGAGCTGTGACCCCGCGGGCAGAGGGGCCCCGCTGGAGCAGCCTGGCCTGGCAGGACCGAGCCCGTGGCACAGTGACCCACGCTGCAGCACTTGGAGGGGGCTGTGCCCCAGGGGATGGACTCGGCTCGGAGAAGTTCCTGGAGAAGTCTCGGCTGGGAGAGAGCGCAGGGTGCAGCAGGGAACGACTCCTGTCCCTGAGCAGAGGGAGAAGCCGCGGGGGATGAGCTGAGCACGGCCCCATTCCCTGTCTCCTGCCCTGCCGGGGGAGGAGGTGCAGCTGGGAGCAGGGAGGCGTGGGGAAAGCTGCATTTAAGGCTCTGCACTGACTTCTCCTCATCCTGCTCTGAGTCTTTGGAGTTTTCTGCCAGAAATCTCTCCCCTCCCCCGCTCGCCCACAGGGCTTTGGGCAGGTTTCCCTTTTCGGGGGAAATCAAAGCGAAGCACCGATGCACTAATGAGGGGCAGAAGAAGTGAGGCTCCCGGGCTTCCCGCAGAGCCGGAGGCACGGAAGGCGCAGGGCCGGGAAAGCCGTGGCGGGAGGTGCGGAGAAGTTTGTTTGTGTGGGCAGCTCAATCCCGCCTCGGGCCCGGGCCCGTCCCGGGGCTGTTGCTCATCTCCGGCTTTGCCCTCACGCAGCGCGGGGGGCCCTGAGAGCGCGGGGCGAGTCTGGGCCGTGCGCAGAGCCCGCCCCCAGCTCGCTGCCATTGGCCGCTGGTGCCGTCAGTCGCGGTTACGGCGCGCTGATTGGTGGGAGCGGGACGCAGCACGGCCCCGGCGGCGGGCTGAGGGCGGCCGTGGGCGGGCAGCGGCGCCATTGGCGCCAGGAGGGTCTGTGCGGGCCCGGGAGCGGCGGCAGCGGCCGGAGCGCGGTGAGGCGGCGTCGGCGGAGCTCGGAGGCGGCCCCGGCGCAGGTGGGAGCCGCGCTGGGTTCTGCGGGGGCTCGGGGCTGGCTGCGGGCGGAGGGGGCGGCAGGGGGCTGCGGCGGGTCGGTGGTGCCGTGTCCGGGCCGTGCTGGCCCCGGGCTGAGGGCGCGGCGGGAGCGGCTGCCCGCGGTCTCCTTCCCGCCGGGGCCTGGGCAGGAGCCGCTGCCGGAGCAGCGCTGGCTCGGCCCGGCTGCTGTGGGTAGGACCGAGGGGGCTGCCCCGCGGCCGGGAGCGTGCGGGGAAATTCCCGTCGCCGGAGGTTTCTGTGGCCGGAGGAGAGCGAGGAGTCCTGTAAAAGTGACTTTATTGCCGAGCAGGGGGAGAGGCCGTGGGGCATTTGCCGTGCGCTCTCTGCCATGGTTGTAGTCCGCAGCCTCCTTTTTATCCTCATTTCCCCGGCCGCATCTCCCTCTGCCTTTGCCCACTGGCTGAGGTCCTTGGAAGGTTCAGACTTCCCGATGCGCCTGCTGCCTGTCCTCGTTAATATGCACCCTCCTTTTGTATAACAGCCGATATTCATGGCTCTGTTAAGTCTTTGTTCTTCTCCTCGAAGTTCAGGAATGTAGCGGGACTTTGAGGAGCTCTCTGGGTCAATTTGTGACATTTATTGGAACTGATGGTTTCTCCCAGTTACTTCCTTAACTACAAGTGCCTGGCCCTATCTCCAGGCAGATTCACTCCTTGACTCTGTTTTGTTCTTCCCGGGTCCTCTTTGGTTTTGGGATTATTCTCGATGCCCTCATTCCCTGTCCTTTTGTAGCCGTTTGTGGATCAGGAGGCCTGGCTGCCACCTGCATCCCCTGGCTCAGCTGCTGGATGAGCTGCACTGCCAAGGTGTGGAGCATGGTAAAAAGATGAGAGTTGCTGCAGCACAGAAGAGGAGAAGCAGCATTCGTTTAACCCCTGGTGTGCCGGGGAGCCACGAATGTGTGTCCCATTCCCATCCTTTCCATGTGTGGACCAATACATAAACTGCTGTCCTATTTCCTTTCTCATCTTTTTCAGCGCTTTCCTTTGTCAACTCTTTGCCAACATCAGTTTGAGTAATTTATTTTCCCCCAGACTCCTGTTTTTTCTGCTCACAGATAATCTGATCCCATCCCCTGGTGAAATGTCATATTCCTCATTTCAGTGGCTTGGTCCGCAGGAAGGTCAGGAGCTGGAGGTTTCTGGTGGGTTCTTATTTCGAGGACAGCTTGTAATCTAATGCCATTTAATTGATAAATGGGTTCTCTGCCTCCTGATATGAATTTGTGAAAAACACCAATCACTTGGTTTTTAACATTTTAAAAGTTTAATAATAGTAAAAAGGTACAAAATATAATAAAACAATTAGAGTAATAAAAATTTAGAGTTAGGACAATTACAAGACAATAAAAAGCAAAGAATTACTGAGGTCACGATGCTCAGGCACTTAAGCCAAGACGAGCATACCTTGTGAACTAAGGAATCACCCTTAAAACAATACACAATTAGCTTCTTCTAATAAGAAAACCATAACTTTCTTTTCTCTGGAAAATTTAGGTGTTCCTTGAGTGAGTATCTCATTCCTTAAACTCCTCCCCCCCCATGCTTAGTTTCTCTTTTAACTACTAAACCTTCATTTTATCTACAACGCTACATTTACCATACTATTAAAATGTTAATACAGCACAACTAATCAATATAACATAAGACATATAGTAACTGTTATAAATGAAAATTTGTCCAGCTAAATTATTATGAAAAATGAAATATTTATTTTGCAATCGAATTTTATCTAGCCAGCCACAAGAAAAGAACAGAGCCGAGTCTGGGGTCGGCCCTGGGTGTGCAACAAGGAGTCAGCCTCAGCAGAGGTTTTCCTCCATGCCCACACACCTCCATCCTGGCACAAGCGGGTTTTATAGGGAAAATTCCGCCTAAGGCCAAGATTTCGGCAATCAGTCTTTTCTTCTTTTCAGAGTCCATATGTTAATAAGATTTTCTTTTTTGGTGATGAGGGAGAACAAATCAGTGACTGGAGTTTGTTGAATCCTTTGATGAAATTTACAGGAACGCTGTATTCACATGTATCTGCCTCAGGATTTCCATGATATCCATCTCGGGTCGTTCATGCTAAC